TCAGCTCGGTACGAGGGCTTGGCTTTCAGACTTGACATCTCCACGGGCTTATTAGCTAAACGGCGAAGTCTCTCGAGCCTCCTCTTGTACCAATGTCTCCGCTTTAGGGTTTTTATCTGAACTGCGAGAATAACTGACTAAGTCGTGCCATAAGGCCTACTTCCATCTTAAAGTATTGAAAGAAACTTGCTCTGGCTTGCCCAAAGCGTTGAACATAGAGAATTAAAAAAAAGGAACCTTTCCTCTCCCCAGCCATTTCGGGTTAAGAAGATGTGAAAGCGCGTTTATCCTCGACTACATTTAAGTTGGCTAGAAACTTCAGCCTTAGTAGAGCTGAAGCGTTAAATGTGCTTCTATTTAGCAAATAGAGTTTGACTGAGAACCTAAACCTGTGCTCGAGAGATAGCTGTCCATATGAGGTATGGAAAGTTCCAAACATTGGGAACTACCCGGGGAGGAGTTAGGAACAGGAACAAGGAGAAGCGACCCCCCCAAAAAAGAAGGGAGCTACGTCTGAGTTAAACTTGGAGATGCAAGTCTTCTTTCCTTTCTCGACAGGCCCTTGAGATAACAGCCCATACCATAGGGTACCAACGACTCTCTCTTCTTAAACAACCTATATCCTTTTTTGATTTCCCGTTTATTGTATCGACAAGTAACAAGGTTCTGAAAGAAAGACAAGCCTTAAGGCACCTTCCTCCGGCTTATCACCGGCAGTCTGTTCAGGTTCAAGCATTCCGCGAGCAGGCAAGCTATCTGCTTTGGATCAATCCAAAGCCCAAAAACGTTTTAGAAGGTTAAAATCGTCCATCGTCCTAAAGTAGTCCCCGCGAAGCTTTCGGGAAGAGGGGAAGTATCAAAATAAAGATAAAGATGACTGCGCCAACTTGATATTTTGGTATTATCGCCACAAGTGCGGGCCCCCGTCAATTCCTTTGAGTTTCATTCTTGCGAACGTACTCCGGATAATAGAGCTCGAACCAGCCCCTTGGATTCCTTCGCTCCGGTTCCTGTCCTGCTTTTGGCTTTTTATGGAAGCAACCTATTACTTCGATTGGCATCGAGACTCAGAGGTCATCTTCAATCTGCATCTTGGTTGTGCACATGTGGTTCACTTTGTTCCAAGACTTGGAAAGAAATTCTTGCAACCTCTCCTTTAGTTTTCACAGAGCGTCAGAGCTATTTAGGTTCAAAACATCGGTAAACGCTATTACAGTCCAATTCTCTGGTATTGTGGGAAACATCATTCTTTCGTATCGGTACCTCTCTACAAAGCTCAGCAACAACTTGTTATCCTGTTACTTTATTTTGAATATGTCTTCCTTGTGGTTCTTGACCTTCCGAGCCCCAGCATGGGCTTTCACATATACATCTGCAAGAATAGCAAAAGAATCAATGGAGTGTTCAAGTACAAGTGTACCAAGTTAAAGCTCCCTTTGTGAGCACTTGGCCAATTATTTTGAGCATGACGAATTCGATCTCGTCCGGCTGCAAATTATTCCAGTTGATACCAGTCGTGTATGCTGCCACATGCTTCTATGGGTCTATTTTTGCATCGTATCTCGGCACATCTAACATTTTCAATCTTTTCGAGATGAGTGCCAGAGCCGCGCTTGGTTTAAACCACATCTTTGTATATTTTTTTGTTTCTGCGCCCCTAACAATTGGTGGGGCCCCGGGTATCTGATACATCCGGGCTTGTATGTCTTGCATAAAGTTGAGGAGCTCAGTCATGTACGTGTCTTCTAATGCTTATACAGTTTTGGATCCACTCATACCGAACCCTGAACCACGAGGGACCTTTTCCTCTACCGTAGTTGTTGCAATATCCTCTAGTCTCTCTGTCACCGTGGGATGATGGGGCATGGTTGTTCCAGGGCGAGTATCGCTGCTAAGAGAAGTCATGGCATTCTCCATACGCGTCAAGAATGTGTTCTCTGCAGCCATCATGCTTTCCACCATCTTCTCGAGCCTGGAACTTTACTTGTGATACATCCCCGTTACCCTGGAACAATGTCGTCGGCCTCTTCGTGGGACACGTCGCTCTCCCTGATACTTGTTTTCGCCATCACTTTCATCATCAAGAGCCCCAATTTTAGCTGAAAGTCGGGCCTGACCTGCTTCGTACGAGGTGGACTTGTTGCCCTCCTGCTTACGTCCTTCAGAGTGTTGCGAACCTTGTGGGTCCTCAAACATCTCTAGGCTTGATGGGTTTACCAAAGGCCTCAGTGTGGCTTGTTAACCATTTAATGTAAGTTCTCACACTGAGCCTCAGACATGGCCAAAGTTTGGTACTATGTTTTGGTGGTTTAGGAAAAAGGCTTGAAGAAAAAGGATCAAGACAATATCACAGCTGCCTATCCCCACAGACGACGCTAACTGTTTACCGGCAACATTATATTTTTGCCTTAACAGTACTTTTGATAAACAAAGGGGTTAAAGACAAGTAAATCGAATATGATCCAAAACCCTTTGCCAGCTAGTTCGATCAATGTGAACCGTATGAAAGCTTGAGATAAGAAGCGCTATTTATGAACAACAAGACAATGCTCAAAATACCAATAAAATAGAACCATCCACCCTTTGTAGTGACTGATGTTTCTTTTAGGATCATATCGAGAGAGAAAGATAGGCAGATAGAAAAGAGAGAGATATATTTCTTGTTATAATGGACCTGCACCTTAGCTTTATTGAGAAGCTAACTATGTAAAACAAGCAACGGAATAGCCTTTTTGTGATAAGACTCTTCGATAGTATAAAGGACAATTGAAAAAACGTCTTCAAAGCACAAAGCTCGAGGATGGATGATGTTAGAGGGTTGGTGAGAATGCGCTCCAGTTGGTGCCCATGTCAGGGTCAAAGATAAATAAATCCATTGGATCTGATGCCATTGTGTCACCGGTCAACGAGGGCCTTAATCACCTTCAAATAGCATCGTTGCCTCGAGACACTGGTCATCATGATCTCGGAGCCCCAGATCGGGGCCATTCACCATGATACCTCGAGTGCTGAACTTTCGCTAGGTCCAGACTTCCACGTGTCGTATCCCTGCTGGCCCAGTGGCAGATCCTAATTCCCCCATACAATTACTAGTGAGAGCTGATTTATTATATTAATTCCTTTGCATAGCCGAGTTGCATTCAATGTACAATCATTTCTTCTGTTTGCTCATAGTAAGCTTAATTGTCATACTTTGGGTGGTATCGCTAGAGGTGTACATGGACCGAGTTGATTCAGTTTTTATTAAAATCATACCAAACCAACTATATCGGTTTGGATTGGTTTGGTATTGTCGGATTTTTCGGGTTTTTATGGTTTTTTTGTTACATGAATAATATGTCAATCTTACTTTGTTAAATTTTGTATAAGTAAATATATGTTTGATAAAAATTAAAATAATTGACAAACATATGATCTATTAAAATATTCTTGTGGGAGAATTTTCTTATTAACACATGATAGTCATTTTTTTAGTTGTCTCACGATAAGTTTTCGTTGATGTAGACTTTAAAGTCAATCGAACTTAATAATTAAACATAAAAAATAATATGATACCTAAATAATGATGTATGTCCTATTTGATTTTTACTTATCGAAATACTACTTTAAATTCGAAAAGATATAAGAATCTAATAGACCTTAACATATGAATATGAAAAAATGAAGAGATCGACACATTTCAATAACACTTGATAAGAAAGTGATCATATAACACATTATTTAAAGTTAATAAAAATGGAGCACTTAATATTCTATTAAATATTACATCCCATAAGAAATCCCAAATATTTTTAGTCATTTTTTAAATTCTACATAAGGTCTTAAAAGTATATATAAAAATTATATATTTATATATCGATTTGGTTCGGTTTTTTTTATTCAATATCAAACCAAATCAAACCAAACCTCATCGAATTTTTTAATCGATTTGATTTGAATTTTCAGTTTGGTGCAGTTTCCGATTAGGTTTGTATACCCCTAGGTATCGCCATGTAAAAAGTGTCCCTTAAGATCTTTCCCACTTATGTAATGGCTTTAAGATATTATGAGTTCTATGAGCCATATGTTATGCTTTTTAAGGCTATTTATATTTTCATGTGATGATTTATATACGTTGTTTATGAATGGGTACACAGGTTAAGTATTTCGCTCGATGGAATGTTAAGGCATCGGCTGCCTGTCACAATCTCATACAAAGGTTATTGATTTCTTTCTCAAATGACTCAATTCTGGATTTTGTAATTTGCCATGGGAAACATAAATTTGAAGGGAAATCAAAAGGGAATCATCAAAATCATTGAACAGAAGGAATTTAATGCATTTTCTTGAAAAGATAGCGTGGAATAAGACACCAGAAATTATAGAATTGATGGAGCTGACAAAAAGCTCAATTTACTGATCAAAAAATTGATGAATTTTGTTGGTAATGTTTGGGTTATGAGAATGGAAAAGTTAGAGTGTGATTTTGGCGAAAGCACACAAAGTGAGGGCCTATTACTTTTACCCACGTGTTGAATATATGGCTTTTCCTAGTGCTAAACAGACTAATTAAAGGCTAATTAATCTTAATCGTTCATAAATAAGAATAAATATAAGTCATTTTTTGTAACTAAGGAAACGAACCATCGACAAAAGACATACTCCATATATTAATACATTTTCATTTGGTTCAAGAGCAAATATGACCCTACTCCACAAAATTGATTAAGTGGTTGTCTTGTTTCCAATAAGGCTAGAAAACTCTTCTCAGACAATAAGTCGGTCCAAAAGTGAAAGGTGCATAATGGCCATCCCAATCGTGCAATAAAATTCAACTTTAAGCCTTTCTTTTATGTGTCACCAAAACCGTGTATAAACTCCAACGCACCTGCTACCTTGAAATTTGGTGGAGGCTTGGCTTGCTAATTGCTATTGCTATTGCTATTGCTCTTTCTCCTCCCTGTTTCCAGGAAACTTCACAACCACCCCCCCCCC